TGTGATTTTCTTTTAATTTTTTAGATTTTGTAGATTCTAGAAATTCATATATATGTTTATTTTGAGTGATATTTAATACATTTTAAATTTAATAATATCGAAATTTGCTTTTACGGTTTTAGATTTTGGGGAAAGCATCTCATTGTCGGCAATGACTGATTCAATCAGAATTACTAGAAGTATACCAAATAATATTTAAAATTTTGGGAAATTTCCCTCATTTGATTTGTGTATTACCCAAGGGTTGCATTGTATTTCATCTCAATTAGTATACCAACATGTTTGTATTTCCTTCTTAATTTGTATTCATCCTAACTGTATGCTAAAAAATTTGTATTTTATTGGGTATTCATTCTGTATTTCAATCTCAATTTATATGTGAACAAATTTGGATTTCTCTTTTGTTTTGTATTCAACCTAATTGTATACCAACAAGTTTTGAATTTTATGTGCCTACTTTACCTTTCAAAGTCACTTTGTATTTCAAATGAAGAGAGTATTTAATTTCTTTTGTATTCAGAACTTTATATTCAATATTACTTTGTATTTATAACTTTGTATTTTCATCTCATTTTTGTATTCATATATTGTTGTATTCAACATATAATTCATGATCCATTAGTTTGTATTTTACCTTCCAAAGTCACTTTGTATTTCAAATGAAGAGAGTATTTAATTTCTTTTGTATTCAGAACTTTATATTCAATATTACTTTGTATTTATAACTTTGTATTTTCATCTCACTTTTGTATTTATATATTGTTGTATTCAACATATAGTTCATGATCGATTAGTTACATTAACTTAATGGGATACAAATTATTGTATGCATTACAACAGCAAAAAACAGCTACTAAACTAAAAAAATAATAATAATTTCATTCGTTATACATCATAATTTGGATACAAAACATCCGAAAAAAGCTATAATTCCCAATGCATACAGAGATTTCACTGATTCAATCAGGAAAAAAAAACACTCTTGTATTCGACAGATATGAATATCTCATCCAAACAAATAAAAAAATCAAAAAAAACACCTGATTATTTTTCGATTGTTCACTAGATGCGACAAATTTATAGTTGTCAATTTTGAAAAATTCTGTTTAAAAAATATATCGTATTCAACTTGAAGAAGTTTTGAAAGTTATCATATGAATGATTCGGAATACAAACTAAATTATTTTAATTATTTTTTTTGATGTTCTGAAGAAGAAAGCAAAAAAACGCTCGACGGAAAGATGGCTATTTATGCTCTTTTCAAAACGTAACTGATTTATATTTAAAATCTTTTTTGAATTTTTTTGTTCCATGATTTTCTCTGTTCTGTTATTAATTATTTGTATTCTTTCAAATTAAACAAAATAAAATAAATACATAACTAATCCCTTAACAAACTAAAATAATGACATTTTAAATAAATAATGAAACTGTTGCTAAGGAGTCCCACTAAAAACTAAAATATTGTTGTTTTGAAATTTTTCCCATATTAATATTCGTATAATTTGATTCTTGTAGAATTAATATTATGAAGAAAGATTGAATGACGATTTTATTGGAGTTTGATAATATGTTAACAAACGTTATTGTGTGCAATTAGCATCATAATCATGATTTGTTTTGTACTGAATAATTATCAAGTTATGAAACATATAATTGCTGACTGTGATAATTCTTTAATTATTTTTTTATATGGATGCTCCTGATTTCTAGTTCATGTTATAGTACTCAAAATAACTATTTAGGTTATTATTCTAGACTTTGACGTTATCAAGTGGTTTGTGTAAATATCAATCTCATGGAATATTTTAATAATATTATTTTTCTAGAAGCCGTCAATACACGAAGTTGTTTTTATGTCTGATGTTTTTTATTATTAATTGAGAGATACTTTTTATTATTAAAAGGGTGACATACCACAGTACAGTGGTACTGGCGCTAGATAAATGCGTTTTTTTTATTCATATAAAATTGAAATCTTTATAAATTGTGAAAAAGTTATCTCTATTATGAAAAAAAAATTAAGTGTAAGGATATCTTGTGAATTAGGTTGATTCTATGAAATTTTTGAAAGTGTAAGGATATCTTGTGAATTAGGTTGAT